CGGAAATAGCTCTTTGCGCAGCAGTTGGGGTAATGAAGTGGCTACCATGGCGACGCTAGAACCACACACTATGTTGATCGAGAAGCTGTTTGTTGTTGCTAGTTAAAAGTACAGTGCACAGAAAAGTTTCAAGAAAAAAGTTATACCTGGAAAATCCTGCAAATTTTCTCCGTTGTCATGTCCTCCTCAAGAGTCACACGCTTGGATCCTCGAAATAAAACGTAACTGTCCATGGCTGATAGGTCCGACTGCCTTATCTGGTGCAGTTTGATCGAACGTGGTGGGAGTAAGCCAATTGTTTTTTTAGCTAACGCTCCACCAAACTTCCGGGTCATGTAAACTGTACCGATTAAATATTAAAATCAAATTCTGCGTTGCTGTCCGTTTTTCCATTTCGTATTCTTGATCTGAGCTTAGAATTGAAATATGAAAAACCAATCCTTTTTTCGTTTTTGGTTTAACGATAAAAAACAAAAAACAAAATAACCAGTCAATTTTTTATTTTTTGTTTTTTGATTGGCAATTGAAAATAGAAAGAACGAATGATACACGGATTCAGGTTATTTAACTGACTAAGGTTTCTATCATTACATTTGATTTTATTTGTTCCTGCTACCAGTGGTTGGAATCTTTATTCCACTCTGGATTCTTGTGAGTGTAGTCTTTGTTCACTTTAACTTTTTAAAAATAAATAAATAAATAGTTTTGAAAACCTTGGTATTCATTCTTTTCCTGCTTTGTGTGTCAACATTCACGGTTGCTAAGCAACAGAGCATACGGCGGTAAAACCCGCCGAAGGGTGGACCTGTTCGGATTTATAGCCAAAACTCTTCCGGCCTCCTTATTTTCAAGGACTTCGAAGGATCCAGTCTAGGTAGACCGCGTCCTTGGTTTTCGAACAGAGCCTCTGATTAAGAACAGGGCTGCCTGCACTGACGCGGCTCAGGGATTACGTCACACGAAGCGTCGTGCGCAGTGAAATCAGGACATTTCCTCACTTTCTAAAAAAAACCCGGGACGCCCGGGACAGGACGTGAAATACGGATATGTTCCGGGACATACGGACGTTCGGTCACCCTAACCAATACGGCGGAATAGACATTTACAGTTTTTGTGATTTAAAACAATTTATTTGTAGCTCCTTAAAGGTATAGTGGATGATTTTGGCAACCTTTTGAAAAGAACATTCTCCAAAAAAACAAAACAAAAAACATATGCATAACCCTGTACCCGCTCCCGAGAGGGAATGCCTATTAAACGCGTGTTTTATTTCCTACGTCAGACTCGCCACCTGTAAGTGAAAATGGGGATGAGCACATAGGATGGCCTTAGGTAAACATATCACCGGAATAATTGACAATTAGGAGGACCACTTATTTTGATGATCCACCCGGAAAAACAACATCTTCTATTATTACGTAAAAGTTTTTACCACCACTTCACTATCTAAAACCTTTTTAAGCTGCATAAAACAATTTCTCTCGCAAGATATATGAACATATTTCCTAATTTCATAGTACTAAAATAATTAGCCGATCTTTATTGCAGTAATAAATGCCAGTGATTCTTTACAGTATGAATTTTGATTATAGAGATATTGTCATAATACATAGTCCCACTGCTCATTTTACTCTTACGACCTCACCCAATAATTTACTGGCTCTGGATTATGTGTGAATAAAGCCAGAATATATTTACTTGGTAAAACTGACCCGTTAAATTGAACAGGTCATGACCCAGTGTCATACCCACTACTTTACCAGAGCCGTTATAGTGTAAACCAAGCCACTACATTACTGGGCACTGGTTTTTGTGTTAATGCGAAAAGTTTGTAGTGATGCATTAGCTAACAACAGTCCTCTTGTTGCACGTTAACCTCCCCAACAATAGGACCATTGATAAACAGGCTTGCTTTACTAAGAAAGCAGGCAGGTTTTTAATGATGGCTGGAAACAAGTCGGACCTGGAACAAAAAAAACTTTCCACGCAGAGAGTCAAGTACGACTCACTGCAGGGTCATGCTCTAGTGTTCGTTTAGATCTTCCTGTACTACAACATTTAATTTTTTTTTGGCAGTCACTTCTCTGACTAAAATGCTCAGAAATCACTTTCTTCATTAGTTATCATAATGCTACAAACAAGTGTTAAGAACCATCAGTCCAAAACCATTGTTTGCTTTAACTAATCAGCTGTTTAGCAGATGTTAATTTCCAGCAAAAAAATTCTTCTTTAGAGGTTTGCTTGATCAGTTAAAGCTATATTCCTTGCATTACTGCCACCTGCAGGTGATATTAGGTTAATCTATTCCACTAGCCTAGTAAACTAGCCCCCCACCAGAGGCCAAAATCATTTTTGCCTGGGAGTGGTCTAGCCTCGATCAATGCCCCAGGCCCTAGAACTGGTGGGCCAATCACAACGCAGAGATGTGTTTTGAATTTTTAGATACGTTTTACCGACAGGCTGTTTGTTTACACTCCCTCACCAGCTTTCTGTCGCGCTTACACAGTCAGTCGCACTCATTGGTCAGAGCGTTGGCCAAAAGGCACAGGCATGGTTTGAAAAACAACGGGTTCTTCTCATTAACAATCTTCTGATGTCTCATTTATGGGGCCTTACTAAATTACACATTTAATCTCACATTTAGTCAGGTATATCAGACTACTAATCCACTGTTGCTGGGTTAAGCGATAAAAGCGCTCACCTGTTAATGGGACCAATTTGTATGTATAAATGGTTCAGTTGGTGCTCAACCTGGGAATGTGGTCTCAGGAAATTATTGGGACTTATGTGGGGGCACTAATGTTAGATTAGAAGAGCTTGAAAATATAGCAACATAAATAAACTAAATATTTATTTCTATATAATTCAGGAAGTACCAAAATTCAATAGATAAGCTCTCAAACTAACAACATTATGTCTATGGTTGCAGTTACTGTGGCTACCAGAAATAACATAAGGAACTTAACAACCCAAACATAATGAAAGAAAAAAAAGTAAATGATCTAGTAACTGTTAAGGCCTCTGGTTAAAATTTCACTTGACCACTAAAGGACTAACAATACAGAGTGGAAAAAAGAAAATCTCAATGAATACATGGAGCTTATATGAATAGATCACCACCTTTAAACATGACTGAGGGTTCTGCTATTTTAAATAAACCAAACTGAAGCACAGCTGCATTACCAAGGACATGTCAAAAGACTAAATATCAGACTCGGGGTACTTTTGGTGTGTTACATCCTGGAAGAATTGGCTTAAGACAGATGACAAAAACCAAGCACATTAACAGCATTCAGAGCTGCTGCCTTAGAGAAATGAAACATGGACACAACACATCTTTCTACCTCTCAGATGCGACTTCCTGCTCTCCTGTTTAATCTCAACCTGAATATATTTATCTGACTTTGATCGCCTAGGAAGGGGAAGGCCAGTATAATCATCAACATTAATCATAAGGTCGGCCTAGAAGAATAACACTCTTCTGTAATAGTGTAACGGATCTGAAAATAGGAAAGGTCAAACCATTTTTAAACCTTTCTTTACAAATCGTTTTATTTCGGGGATCAAAAACTACTAAATCAAAGGTTTAAACAGTGAACTGAAGAGAATGTTAGATTTTTATGAGACATTTGATAGGAATCCACTAAACATTCAGGGGCACAAAAAATTAAATATGGGTCTTAACTAATACCTTTAAAAATATTAGACAAATATTTATAGAAAGCTTATGTTATGCTATAAACTCAATGGAAATATGCAACCCATAACATCTGGTTTGACAAATATTTAACAAACATGACTTTCATTGATTAACCCATCTAAAAACATAACAATGCCACTCACTCCAGTGGTGTGAAGCTACAGATCTAGATACAGAGGTAAGATGGGTTCCTTCACTAGACTGAGTTGGACAAAAACAAAAAGAGAGTTTTTTTATTTCTACATTTCTGGCCGAGAAACACCATGTTCCACAGTGTCTCATTAAAGCTCCATCATGATGGAGATTTACGGTGCCATAGAAAAGTATTAAACCCTGGACATTCCTGGCATTTTATGTAACAGATCAACAAAAAGTAGCTTTCGAATTGAAGGATGGGGATATGGTTTCCAAGGGTTTCTAAAAACTAATTTGAATGCAACTACAGCTGAAGTTATTTTGTAGTAGGTCTATCATCCCAGTATTAATCTAGAGCCCGAAATGTTTATGCCTCTTTCCAGAGGAACTCCAGATCATTTAGACTGAGCGGAGAGCATCAGTGTACAGTATTTCCTTTTGTTGGAACCACCTAACAAACAAATTTAGTTCTGGAGAATTTGACAGTGTCATTTTAACACATTGATGCTTTGATCTAATTTCCTTCCATCACTGGCTGCATGTTTAAGCTTAATGTCCTGCTGGAAGGAGAACCTCCATCACAGTCTAAGGTATATTGCAGTCTCTAATAAGGTTTGCTGAACTACATTGAGCTCCATCCATGTTCTAAACATAAAAGTCTACCTCATCCCCATGTTTAACCATAGAGATTATGTATTCAGTGAATTATTTCTTCCTCCTGGATTTTTAAGTTCAACTTAGGTCCCTCTGAGACCAGAAAAAAAAAATAGGACTAATACTGAGAACAAAATGGGAAAGCTCTAAAATATCTTAATTTAGTCATCCAAGTAAAAGGGGCTGAAAACATATTTTCCTCCTTCGCATCCATGCACTATAACTGTGCTGATCTATTACATAAAATCTCAGTAAAACACATAAAAGTTTGTGGTTGTAACATGAAAAAGCTGAATGGCTATGAATACTTTTTTAGGGCACTGCAGATCATCTTGTTGATGCAGCGTCAATCCATAATCACCAAGCTAATGACTCGCTGTGTAAAATAAAAACAACAAAAACTGCATCTTTGTAGATATGAGGGCAAACAGCTAATAAGCTGATCACACAACAACAACCATGCAATAATTTAATAAAGCAGAAAGACTAGCATAAACTGCTGGATACTTACGGTGTCATCGCTTCGGTACGGGTTAAGTTTGTTGTACACTGCTTCAATAACACTTCGTCTGAAGGGATAAGATTGAAAGAAATAGTTTAACAACAGTAACTAATTTTCAGCTAATAACTAACAGTAGCTATCACTTACTTGCTGGCCAACTCTCCACCAGGAGGGAGGTTTGGAATGCTCTCAGATGCTAACGTCCGCATAACATGGACCAACTCTGGGACGCCTTCATCTCCCTGCTTTTTGATTATCTCTGTTAGCAGAGCAAATTTAAATTTGGTTTTAAAACACAATGAAAGAAAATTAAAACACTGAAAATGTCTTATGTCTATCTCAAAAAAAAAAGAAAGAAAAAGATCTGAAATAACAATTGTCCGACTATGACGGCAGTTTTTTACGCTCAAAACCAATTCATCCAAAGAAGTATTTGGTGTACAGTAAACCTTGAAGCGAAGTGAGTTTTTGCCCATTGCTTATCAATAGATCACAGATCATAAAGGTGCAATGGTGCATCCAAGACATTTGCCCTTTCCGTTTTCCCCAATGCCCCTAGATTCCATTCCTTGAGAGCAGGTGTCCTGTAACCGTCACATACATCTTGGCTTCAACACACCCGACTGAATTCATCAGCAGAGCTCCATAGAGCTCATCCTCATGCTATTAAAGCACCTTAGACATTCAATTGTGTGAGGCAATGAAAACATTTAAGTTACATGATACTGAACCATGAGGGATTTGACTTTGAGACCACTTTTACTCTGCAGCATTACATTATTCATTTATGAGACATGTTTTCTTTGTCTTTTTTTGTGTACTGTGAACATACTGTAAATATTTATTAGACTACCCAGCGCAAGGAGAATCCAAGGAAGTTTGTGTGCAACCATCCATTTGTGCAGCAGCATTCAAACATGTGGCTTAACATTAATTAAACACACTATCTTTCAGCTACCTTGGACTCTTGCAATGGGATTATACCATGCCATTACACCATGCAGCCAAAATAAACCCACCAGACTCGGGATGAGAGCCTCGTCTCTATCACCGAATTAGGGATGAAACAATAATTTGGATTAATCATGATTAATTGATTATTGAAACTGTCGCTAAATAATTTGGAAATCTATAAATCGTTAATGGGAGTATAAAGACTCTAAAACATACTTTTAGTTGACAAAGTAAACCCATTTAGAGCAATTGTTATACCATTTTACATTTAGGAGAAATAATATCCAATAATAGCCCATTATGCTCTATCCAGAATTTCTTAATTTAAAAAGTTTTAGTTTAACCTTGTTTAAAGTCTGCAGGAAAATCTTTGGTGTTTAATAATTGATTAATTGAAAACAAATAATTGACAGATTGATCAATTAGCAAGATGATTATTAGTCGCAGCCTTGCACCAAATTAGAAGAGCAGAGATTTCAGTCAAACTGCTCCAACTATATATAAAAAAACTTTTTATACAGCAAAGATGACTGTGGAGGTCAATTAATTTGTTTCTGGTATTCTCCAAACTAATTTCTATTCCAAAAAAGCAAGTTTTGTTTGTATGAATATAACAGACACTTTCCCAAACATGTAGTCAAGTCTAGACTTAAATGTTCTCTTTGCGTGTAAATGGAGCTGTATCCTCCCAAACACACAGTCTTGGTGTCCACATCTGTCAGATCTTCCTCCACATTAGGGTCAAATCTCTTGAGAGCTTCCTAAAACTCTCTTGTCATAGTCAGACTGGTAGGTCTGACGAAAATGCTTTCAAGTTTTCAAAAATGTTTTGTACCTTCTACTCTGGCTTCCAGATATTTGTCCAGCTCAGCCTCACGTTTCACAGCTTCTGGAGATACCTTTGGGGCCCCAGGAAAGCAGATTAAAACAACACTCATATTGTCCCGGCTTCCCTGTGGAAAGATAAAAAAGCAGTGTAAATCAAGTATAAACCAAGCAGTATATTAACATGTCGGTGCAAGTTTGGTGAACACGTCATACCTTGTACAAGCAAGTGTCAACAATTTCATTGCTGACTCTTTCGAGATCATCTGTAACCTCCAGCCTTGACCTCACAAAGTCACAGAGTTCCTCATTGGCCATGACATCCCAGATGCCATCACAGGCAAGTATAATAAATTCATCTTGACCCTCGTTTCTTTCTATTGCATACACCTCAGGCTCTGGCGAAACCAGCTGCTCCGTTGGGCCTTTTCCATGGACACACTTGTAATCAAAGTCACCCAGGGCTCTGGACACAGCAAGAGAGCCATTAACTCGCTGGATCATGACTGAGCCACCGGCATTCTGGATCCTTTCCTTCTCCAAGGGGTTGCTGGGTTTGTGATCCTGTGTAAAGAAGTGAACAGCTCCTCCCCTGCTGAGGAGACCCCGCGAGTCTCCACAGTTGATGAAGTAGATATGGCTTGGAGAGATCATTACCCCTACTGCAGTGGATCCGCTGCGGTCTACACCATGCTTCTTCTCCGAGATGGTTCGCATGTGTTCATCGATCTCCAAGAATCCTGTGCGGATCCCATTCTTCACACCGTCCACATTGTTGGACTCCATAATAGCATTCTTGAAGTCTGGGTTGCTAGTGATGTGTTCCAAGAGGTGCTCGCAGCAGTACTTAGCCACCTGAGAGCCAGCATGCCCATCATAAACGGCAAAGAACGACCAGGGGTCGAGACCATGAGGCAGACCAATGACTGCTGTGTGTGCATCTTCCATCTCAACCCGCCAACCCTGCATGCTGCTCAGCCCATACCTCAGGTTGTTACCCTCACCATGGGAATTGTATTTTTCCATCTTTGGTTTGTCCAGAAATGCCCCCATTGTGTCCCTCTAATAACCTGAAAAACAAATTAAGTATAAAATTATGTGAATTTTTAGTGGTTGTATAATAAAACTGTTGAAAAGCATCAACTACAACATCGTCCCAAACTTTCTCAGACATGTGGTTTATGTGTCCACACACTTGACAACATGGGCACTATAGCAACACAACCATAAAATACATGTCTGCATAAGAACATCTAGACTGGTTGTTCAAATGTCTTACAATACCTTTTAATCATTTGGCTAATCCAAAATCAAACAAAGAAAATATCCAAGGAGCCATAAAATAAAAAAAAAACATAGTTTATCCTAAAGCCCGGCTTTAACTAGGCAACCTGGTATCCTTACAATGGCCCATATGTTTTTGTTGCTCAACCATCACGCTACAGTTAAAGCAATGCTAACCCTTACTGCAGCCAGGATATGGCCTGGATAATGTAAGATACAACTGCTTGCTAGCAGAAAATGTTTTAGCCTATGATTTTGAATTGAAAATAAATAGCAAACAAGCAAATGCTTTTTAGATTGATTTCTGACCTAAAAAAAATCTGTTAAAAACATTGCTATATTTTATTACCTTGTAACTTTGGGTGGTCAAGCTAGAAGATTCACATCACCATTAAAAGAAATACAGAAAATATCAGTAAGCATGTTGCTATCAGTAAATTTGGGATTGCAATCTATATATTAGTGATAGTACCATTTATTGTGTAAAAAAGGGCTTTTATTTGGATTTAAGTTCTGAGAATTTCCAGACAGAATAATAGACATACCCATGGCCTAAACTCTTGGTACAATTTTCTAAATCTATATCAATACATTACTAGATTAAGTGCATTATATATCCTATTAAATCTAAGTGTTTTCCCAAAAAAACATATCCAATTTATTTTGAAAAAATATATAAATAATTACCCAATCATGCAGAGGATATCAGATTCATTCAGTTACATTAATTCTAATTCGATCATAGTCTTAAAGTCCAGTCATAATCAGTTTGTAATGCAAACTAGTGAAAAGTTATCTAGGGAAACCAGGTTGATTGCATTGACTTGAGGTAACCTCCACTCCTGTGCAAGCATGTTATGACAGCAGACAGTCAATTGTCTAAACATAAAACTCTAGAAACCTTTGTTGACATGCTTATTATTAGTTATCATTCTTGGAAAGACAATCCCTTGTTCAAACTTTAAAAACAATATAAAAAAAAACTTTACATGTAAAAACATTATAGTGTCACTATCAGGAAAAATGATAATTAGGGTAATAGATAATTTGATTTAAAGCAAATAACACGTCAACAATCCGCTCTGTGGCAGCAGATTAGCATCTTAAGTGTTGAATTCAGGGCCCTGCTCAGTCTAAATATAGTAGAGATGTGAACACAGTTTGTCTACTTATTAGGATGGCTGCAGTTGTCGATTATCTTAAAAATCACAAAGAAAAAGTATTCACGCTAAAAGATCAATTTAAAAGCAGGAAATAACCCGTCCATTAAGCACTCCATCAAGTATTTATCCAGCGTTCATCTACTTCATTTAAAACATACATGGTTTCAACCCTAAGGCTAAAGTTAGCTACTTGACTGACCAGTTTGTTGGTAACCACTGTAACGAATAACCTGTTCAAATCCCACAGTTCCGCTCGCGCTGGTATGAATTTGCTTCCCATATACTAGTCCAGTTTAATCAGGTTCTGTTAGGCCGATGGATGAAGGGTTAGCCAAGGATCAGATAAACAGACAGCTCCGTCAGTTCGCGGCCCTTGACCCTTGTCCCTCTCAACTAACTCCGTCAGGCCTTTCCAACCATGTTGTGCTAACGTAACGTTGAAGCAAACAGAGCCGCCGAAGCTGGCCTCGCTAATCTAACGTCGAGACGCTAATTTAGCACGAAATGCTAACTGTCGGGATATCCTGCACTACGTGACGATCACAGAGAAGATCTCACTTACCAAACAACCAAAATATCAGATGACAGGAACACAATGTGCAATAGGGACCAAGTGCCCGCAGTTACCACAAGAAGGTGTTCAACGACGAAATGTGAGGGTTAGCGCTGGCTAAGCTAACTAGCCTACAGCTAGCACTTAACTGTCGTCACTCAACACTTAGTGCATAAACTCTGGAACTGTACTCCCTCTTTACGCGCTCCCGTTTTACATTACATTATCTCAGTTGGTGAGCAAAAGAATAAGCTCGGCTCTTGTGTTTCTGAGGGGGAGGATCTGTGTACGGGCCAAGCCAGGGAGGGAAGCTGAACCGTCTGCCCCAGCCTCTCCACTTGACAGCTTGACAGTTTCCTAGCTAGCGTTAGCTTGTGATACGCCACAGGGAAAAGACCCGGATGTTCCAGACTGCGTCTATTCGAAAACATGACATCATCATTACTGCTCTGCTGCAACACATGTGCATTATAGAGCGTTACACAACATCAAATCAAGATTAAGATGTCACAGTAATATGTGTCGGTGGTGTGATGATAATAATGGTGTGAAACTCAAAATAGAATAATGTTAATATTTAGACTGCATGTTGGTTTTACAAGCCTATTATAGCCCTAATAATGACAAGGAGTTCAATCTGTTTTTTTCAGTCATTTCAATCTAAAAAAGGCTACTTTATGAAATTTTCATAGAAATTACATAAAAAACGTTGGAAAATAATTATTATGTCATGCTCCAAATGAGGAAGACTGTAAAGAGGCGCAGCCAGAAAATCCTAATAGGGGTGATCAGTCAATAACCAATGTACACTGAGGGGTGGCCGAAAGGCACCAGAGCCTCAGGGTCAATCTACAACAAGCACAACAACCATATTTTCTAAATAAAGACAAACTATACTTTCCTGCAGCCTTTATATAGATGCATATATTTAAACATCTATGCTGTGTAAATAAAAGGTATAGTGAACAAAATTCTTTCAGGTTTGAGTTCTGGGGCGAACATACACTATATTGCCAAAAGTATTTGCTCACCTGCCTTGACTCACATATGAGCTTAAGTGACATCCCGTTCCTAATCCATAGGGTTCAATATGACGTCGGTCCACCCTTTGCAGCTAGAACAGCTTCAACTCTTCTGGGAAGGCTGTCCACAAGGTTTAGGAGTGTGTTTATGGGAATTTTTGACCATTCTTCCAGAAGCGCATTTGTGAGGTCGCACACTGATGTTGGACGAGAAGGCCTGGCTCTCAGTCTCCGCTCTAATTCATCCCAAAGGTGTTCTATCGGGTTGAGGTCAGGACTCTGTGCAGGCCAGTCAAGTTCATCCACACCAGACTCTGTCATCCATGTCTTTATGGACCTTGCTTTGTGCACTGGTGCACAGTCATGTTGGAAGAGGAAGGGGCCAGCTCCAAACTGTTCCCACAAAGTTGGGAGCATGGAATTGTCCAAAATGTCTTGGTATGCTGAAGCATTCAGAGTTCCTTTCACTGGAACTAAGGGGCCAAGCCCAGCTCCTGAAAAACAACCTCACACCATAATCCCCCCTCCACCAAACTTTACACTTGGCACAATGCAGTCAGACAAGTACCGTTCTCCTGGCAACCGCCAAACCCAGACCCGTCCATCAGATTGCCAGATGGAGAAGCGCGATTCGTCACTCCAGAGAACGCGTCTCCACTGCTCTAGAGTCCAGTGGCGGCGTGCTTTACACCACCGCATCCGACGCTTTGCATTGCACTTGGTGATGTATGGCTTGGATGCAGCTGCTCGCCCATGGAAACCCATTCCATGAAGCTCTCTGCGCACTGTTCTTGAGCTACATGAAGTTTGGAGGTCTGTAGTGATTGACTCTGCAGAAAGTTGGCGACCTCTTCGCACTATGCGCGTCAGCATCCGCTGACCCCGCTCCGTCAGTTTACGTGGCCTACCACTTCGTGGCTGAGTTGCTGTCGTTCCCAAACACTTCCATTTTCTTATAATACAGCTGACAGTTGACTGTGGAATATTTAGGAGCGAGGAAATTTCACGACTGGATTTGTTGCACAGGTGGCATCCTATCACAGTTCCACGCTGGAATTCACTGAGCTCCTGAGAGCGACCCATTCTTTCACAAATGTTTGTAAAAACAGTCTGCATGCCTAGGTGCTTGAATTTATACACCTGTGGCCATGGAAGTGATTGGAACACCTGATTCCAATAATTTGGATGGGTGAGCAAATACTTTTGGCAATATAGTGTATTTCACATTGTTATTACCTACCTTTATCAATAATCACTCTGCAAAAATAAAATAAAAAATGATATAAATTCACTAATATCAACATCTAATGAATTTTTATGTTATTATTAAAGTAGTTATCTATCTATGATTTCACTGAAGACTCCTAGATGACTTGCAGAGGCACATCATTTTATCTTTAGACTTTTAGACTTTAGATAGATTTTATTTGTCATTTTGTTTACACAAGGGTAAGACAAAAGGAAATTTCGTTTGGATATTTGGATATATATATATATATATATATATATATATATATATATATATATATATATATATATATATATATATATATATATATATATACACTCACCGGCCACTTTATTAGGTACACCGTCCAACTGCTCGTTAACACTTAATTTCTAAGCAGCCAATCACTTGGCGGCAACTCAGTGCATTTAGGCATGTAGACATGGTCAAGACAATCTCCTGCAGTTCAAACCGAGCATCAGTATGGGGAAGAAAGGTGATTTGAGTGACTTTGAACGTGGCATGATTGTTGGTGCCAGAAGGGCTGGTCTGAGTATTTCAGAAACTGCTGATCTACTGGGATATTCACGCACAACCATCTCTAGGGTTTACAGAGAATGGTCCGAAAAAGAAAAAACATCCAGTGAGCGGCAGTTCTGTGGGCGGAAATGCCTTGTTGATGCCAGAGGTCAGAGGAGAATGGCCAGACTGGTTCAAGCTGATAGAAGGGCAACAGTGACTCAAATAACCACCCGTTACAACCAAGGTGGGCAGAAGAGCATCTCTGAACGCACAGTACGTTGAACTTTGAGGCAGATGGGCTACAGCAGCAGAAGACCACACCGGGTGCCACTCCTTTCAGCTAAGAACAGGAAACTGAGGCTACAATTTGCACAAGCTCATCGAAATTGGACAATAGAAGATTGGAAAAACGTTGCCTGGTCTGATGAGTCTCGATTTCTGCTGCGACATTCGGATGGTAGGGTCAGAATTTGGCGTCTACAACATGAAAGCATGGATCCATCCTGCCTTGTATCAACGGTTCAGGCTGGTGGTGGTGGTGTCATGGTGTGGGGAATATTTTCTTGGCACTCTTTGGGCCCTTGGTACCAATTGAGCATCGTTGCAACGCCACAGCCTACCTGAGTATTGTTGCTGACCATGTCCATCCCTTTATGACCACAATGTACCCAACTTCTGATGGCTACTTTCAGCAGGATAATGCGCTATGTCATAAAGCTGGAATCATCTCAGACTGGTTTCTTGAACATGACAATGAGTTCACTGTACTCAAATGGCCTCCACAGTCACCAGATCTCAATCCAATAGAGCATTTTTGGGATGTGGTGGAACGGGAGATTCGCATCATGGATGTGCAGCCGACAAATCTGCGGCAACTGTGTGATGCCATCATGTCAATATGGACCAAACTCCCTGAGGAATGCTTCCAGCACCTTGTTGAATCTATGCCACCAAGAATTGAGGCAGTTCTGAAGGCAAAAGGGGGTCCAACCCGTTACTAGCATGGGGTACCTAATAAAGTGGCCGGTGAGTGTATATATATATATATATATATATATATATATATATATATATATATATATATATATATATATATATATATATATATATATATATATATATATATAGGGGTGGCCAATGATTGGCTTTTATTATTGTTATTTATTTATTTTATTGTAATTATTATTACATCCATCCTTTGGCTAAGCCAGTCCTCAACAATAATGCACATCACTCTTCAGTGGTAGAGTCCTCTTTTCGGTTGGTTCCAATTTTGCAATGAATTTGGAAATGTTGCCAGAGCTTGGGAGGAATCATTATGCACACAATGTAGAAAGTTGAGGCCTAGTGTAAAGTTTCACACAGTCCCTAAAGTCAGTAAGGACTCTGGAAGTTACAGTATGTGTCTTGATGGTGATGATGGTCCACTGTGTTTTATAAATCTACATGGACTGCTGAAGGTATTAATGCAACTTTGGAATCCTTGACAGCCCAGCAATGTCACAGATGATCAATCTATGCAGCATTTCTTAAAAAAATAAAATAAAATAAAAATCTAAACCAACTTGTGCCTACATTATGAGGTATATGGATTCACTTTGCAGTAGACCCATGTCATTTGTATGATCACTCCTTTTTTCTTTGACTTGGGATGCTCCTCCAACTCTCTTAGAAATATAGTTTTGTTGTCATTGGTCACAACACTTATTTCATCAAACATTAAAGAAAAAAAAACAATAATCACTTGAAATTAATGTATGGGTTTAGAGATTTCTTTTTATTAAATCACCTTTTTTAAATATACTTACTGCTAATTCTTTTCATGATAATCCTTTCTTTAAATATTAATATTATTTTTATAGTTTGCACAGTCCTTTTTTTCTAATTATTAGTATGAGCTAAAATAAACATTTTCAATGCCTCACAAAGTTTGATTTTTATTAGCTGACATAAAACCAAATTCATAGTTTGGTTCAAACTAATAAAGCGGATGTTGTCACAATACTTTCAGCTTTATTGAGGGCAAGCGGCTCATAACAAATGGGAAAAAAAGCAAGTAAAATAATGTTTTAATACTGCAATAAATAAATAACTGGTTGTAGGATTGTGGAACATTTATTTTGGCATGATCCTATATTCTTTCTTTCAAAGGAACTAAAAATTGAAGCTTAATATGGCCTCCACTTGTTAAGTATGGTTGCAGCTTCTGCTGAGTGTTGCATGATTAATGGCCTTGCCAGGGTTTGGTATGACAGGCTCAGTCTCAAATGCTCTTTCCAGGAAGTAGCTGCATTGCAAGATAAACAAGATCACAACCACGCACACAAACTCAGGAAACACTCATGCAGTTTCTTAAGCTTTATTCATATCCATTTTTGAATTTATAGTTACTTTTTGCAATTGTCTATTGCAAAAAATCATTTCATGATTTAAAAGCATTTATTTCATCATTGTAAAGTTAAATTGAATAAAAAAATAATGACTATCTAAACTTCTAAAAGATTTATTGAGCATGTGGGTGAGTGGTTGCCTAGTGGTTAGGGCATAGAGCTTGGAATCCTGAGGTTCTGAGTTCAATCCCCACTCCCACAGACTGCCACTCTGGCTGCTT